TGGGAGTTGTAGTTGCTAGGATTTATAGTTCACCTACAATCAAAGAGCATTCTGAACCCCACCAATGATGGAATTGAACCAAACTTGGCACACAGTTCTCCCATGACCAACAGAAAATACTGGACGGGTTTGGTGGGCAGTGTCCTTTGGTTTTGGAGTTGTAGTTCACCTACATCCAGAGCTCACTATGGACTCAAACAGTGATGGATCTGGACAAAACTCATAGCCAGGATTTCGTTTCGGGGGGGGGGGGGGCTGAATTTTTTTTCAGGGGGGGGGGGGGGGGCTGTTTCGGGAGGGGGCTGAGTCTGAGTAAAAGAGGGTCTAGCCTAGCAAACCTTTTGTATCATTACCCAATACCCCCATGCATATGGGATATATTGAGTATGGTGATCAGATCATGATATGAATAAACATAACAGTTTAAATAATGCACCAGTAAGGCCTTTTCACGAACCACCATGAGAATTTCGGGGGGGGGGGGGGGGCTGAAGCCCCCCGAGCCCCCCCCCCCCCGGCTACATGCCTGGATCTGGACCAAACTCTACACGAATACTCAATATGCCCAAACGTGAATACTGCTGGAGTTTGGGGAAAATAGAATCTTGACATTTGGGAGTTGTAGTTGCTGGGATTTATAGTTCACCCACAATCACAGAGCATTCTGAACCACACCAACGATAGAATTGGGCCAAACCTCCCACACAAAACCCCCATGTGGGCCACAGCAATGTGTGGCAGGGGACGGGTAGCATTAAATATAATTTTAAAAACAGGCATCCAAGCATAAATGTTTATTTTTTAGAAATGGTATACTACACAATATACAAAACCCACATTTTTTGCCACAGTACTCAAACATGCAGAACTCCATTATGGGGGTAAATCAAACCGGCAATCCCACAAACTGTAGAGCCAAGGAAGCAATTGAAGTTATATAGCTGTTATATAACACTTAACTTATTGAATTCCCATTGATGCTGTGGTTCTACTCAACCTGAGACTAACAACCAAGCTTAGACCATAATCATTAAGACTTGCATTAGGGTTTGAGAACTGTCTCCTCCAAGCTATGTCAAATAAAATACATACATGTCAGAACCTCTGTCCCTCAAGTTGCACTACACTTGTGTGGAGTAGTTAAAA